TAGTGCATGATATTATTAGTACTTTATAAATTCACATGCGTTCTTTGAGAAATCGGAAATAGGAAATAGTGTAAATTACTACTTCTGGTCAAAGGAAATTACTCAAAATTTGCTAGAAGGCAGAAAAATATATCTTTTACTTATATGTGAAATTTCATTTATCTATCTGAAACAGATCTCAGGTTATAGGCTTTTTGAAAAAATGCAAGTAGAATAAGTTCCACTTCCGGTTATCGGAAATCGCTCAAAAGTTGATACGGATCTACGTTTTAGATATAATACTTATATATGAAATTTCATCAACCTAGCTATAACGGTAATCAAGTTATCATGTTTACAGACACACATACATACACACACACAAACACACACATGCACACACACACACACACAGACATACGGACAAGATTGCAAAATTATATTTTTTCCAACTCAGGGAGGTGTAAAACAGCTCTCGATTTTTTTTTTTTTGCACGATTACAATACTTTCTTTAAACGAGAAAGTAATAATTAGAAACATTAGAAAAAAGTATTTTATTATTGATATTTAATTAACATATCGAAAGCCAAGGTAGGCACCCGTCTTCTCATCAGAGCAAATTCACTAACATGTTCGTAACATAGTTGAGGTCCAGAGTCCTGTATTTTTCTAAATATGTTTTGGCTAAGATGGAAAAAGTATAATTTTACCTCACAGTCTGGAAATACCCTTTTAAAACTTTTATCACAGCCATTTCAAAATCAATCATGATAAACATTGGTTGCATGTTTGTATTAAGATCGCTAGTTACTGTGTATCTTCCCTGTTTTATGTTACATAGCATAAACACATAGTCCATCCATTAATCAGTACATTAAAAGTGGACTGTTTTAAAAATTACGCAGGAGCTGTTGTCCATCTTGTGTGTCTTTATATTAACTATATAAAATACAAAATGATATGTATATATTGCTAATTTTTGTTCTCATTATCATTAGTATTTCCTTACAAGCCTCAATTAAGGGGTTATTTTCCATGGTTTTTTATGAGGGGGGTGTGTGTGTGTTGTGTCCATTTAGGTTATTAACTGGGAGCCTTGGTTGATGTTAATATTTAGTATGAATTCAACAGGGTAAAGAGTATGTAACCATGTATTTGCTTGAGTATCAAAGAGAAGATGGTGGAGAATGGCGAAGATTTCGAAACCGCAATTCAGAAGAGGTAAATTTAAAAGAATAGAGGGCTAAAAAATCAATAGACTTTAATTTTTTAATATTGTAATTTTATCACTAAAAAATGTTATAGCAGCAGAAAGCGTAGGCATTAAATTAAAATTATATTTTCCTAATAATATTCTGATGTTCATTACCCATTTGCATTGCAGATTTATTGGGAATTCGTATTTAAAGTTTTGTTTTTGGTAAAAATGAACTCAGACTGATGACTTTTGTAAATTTTTTTAATATGTATCTTTGCAGTTATTATTTTTATAGAAGGTATTAAATAAAATCTAAGCAATACAGAATAACAGTCAACACACTTATATCAACACTACAATTAACATGTTGGTACCACAGCATTCAATTTATTTTTCTTTCTATAAAATTTAAAATTGAAAGTATTATAATGATGTTTTTTTAAAATCACTTTTGCAGAAATTAAAAGGAAATGTAAATGTTTATTTAGCTGAAATGAGAGACGTAGACCCTCCAATAATTGCCAAAAGAATAAGATTTATTCCTTATAGTGAAAGTCCAAGGACTGTCTGCATGAGAGTGGAAATGTATGGATGTTTATGGACAGGTGAGTTTTTTAAATGCTAACAAATCAGCAATTATTCTTTTTATAAACAGCAAGGACAACTTGCAATGCCTTAGAGCTTTTATAATTTTTATGCAGAGCTATGTATCACCTGTAAGTTCAGCTTTTCACAATTAGCAATATAACCTTGCTCTCACTTCAGTAGATATGCTTCAATAGCTATTACATTATATTGGGAAAGTAAGATTAATTTCTAATTTATTTTAGATGCTTTAGTATCATATTCAATGCCTCAAGGAGATAGACGTGGAGTTGAAGTGGATTTTTATGATTTTACTTATGATGGAAAATTGGAGGTTTGTGAAATAAAAATAAATGAATAATTGAATGTTTTTATCTAATATGTACATTATTATATTTAATTAACATATATACAATCATAGACATACATATAGGCCTTTATGTATACATAAAAAAAAAAAAATATATATATATATATATATGTATATATATATATATATATGTATGTATATATATATATATGTATATATATATATATATATATATCCCATATTTATATAGCGTATATATGTATTGATAAATATCCATTATACATTAATAGTATTAAAATTCTTTCAAGAACAATTACCTGAGTGGTGGTATGGGACAGCTTACAGATGGAGCAGTTGGTGAAACAAACTTCAGATTAGACACAAAGAAATTGGGCATTAAAGGTTATGAATGGGTTGGTTGGAGAAATGATGACCCAATTGATAAACCTGTATCAATAAAATTTGAATTTGATTCAGTTAGAAATTTTACAAAGGTAAATATTCTGCATGCATGCATATCCATACTGTATTAACAATAGACTTGAAAAGCTGGTTCCAAATGGTTCCAAATTTTGCATAAAGCATATTTTTCATCCGAAATATTGAATATTTTATAACAATTGTGTAATATGTACAAAAGTATTGTCTGTTTCATCAACGCTAGAAATAATCAAAGAAATAATTACTAGTAATATAATAGTAATTTAGCAAACACTTTTATATTTTATTTGGATTAGTCAGGTGTTGAGGTTATTGGGGATGTTATATAATTTAATATAAATAAAATAGTATGCATTTTGAGTTTTATCATGGAAAATAATTGTTCTATCTTTTATTTTTACTCTCCCTGACCATTCCGGTTGACTTCAATGAGAGGTTGATGGCAGTTTTTGAAACTATTTGAATTGATAAAATAATTTTAAATGTCTTTTCAATGTCTTATATTGCAAACAAAAATATAAAAATGAGTGTAATTGATGGTTCCCAAACCGCTTTAATTTATAATTATATATATATAATTTTATGTATGTATATATATATATATATATATATATATATATATATATATATATATATATATATATATATATATATATATATATATATATATTATACACACCATGCACATACACATGCACATACACATACACACACATACATATACATTCCTCTAAAAGTGAGCTTTAATGTCTTTTCCAGGTTGAAATCCATGCTAACAATCATTTTTCTAAAGATGTAAGAATATTTCGTCACGCAGAAATTTTCTATAGCATTGGAGGGGAATTTTACTTACCTCATACTACAAAATTTAATTATGATACTGATGATGCTTTAGATGCTGCAAGATATATTGTTATCTTTATGAACAATAAAATTGGAAAATACTTAAAAATAGATCTTTACTTCAAAGCTAAGTGGATAATGATCAGCGAAATCTCTTTTTTATCAAGTAAGCATTTGATTATTTATTCATCTTTTTATTACGGAAAATGTATCATTTAACTTCCTCTCTTAAACATCTTACTGTAGAAATTCTTTACAATCTTTCTAAATCTGCATGAATTTGCAAGATATGGCAAAGGGAGGAGTAAAATTGAAATAAATTTTTCTGATTCAAATTAACTTTCCTGCTATCTTCACATTAACTATTTTTTTACATCTGTTTGTGAATATTCAAAATCTGAATGTTACAGCTGCATATACTACTTGGCATAAATAGCAGTTTAAGTACTAGGATAAGAACACATATTTTGTAATAATTCTGATGGCACAAAGATGTTTTTTAATTAAAAAGTTAAATTAAAATTTAGCATGCTAGAACTATTTACATTTCTCCTAACCAACTTCTGTTTCTTCTTCTCTGGTTTTAATTAATTTGGGGAATGGACATTAGCTTACAATTATATCAAATTTTTTTATGAGTACAAAAAAAAACATCTTATTCTAACAGCTGAAGCAGTAGGGAATTTTACAGTAGAAGAACCACCCCCAACTACCCCTGGGCCTACTACAACAACAAGTAAAAGGGATTCATTCCCTAACAGTTTTGATATGGATCATGACAAACTACATGGTGCTGATCATAATGAAGTCAGTGAAAATAATGCAAATTTATTTGATGTTAGTGAAGGGGAGGAGAATGAAGGTGGAACAGGACAATCTAAAGTGGATGAAGGGACCAGTAAGAAAAGTTTGTACTAGGGAAATTATTTTGTTTCCTATTTTTCTTTAGTTTGTTGGTTCTAATTAGTTTGTTCAATTTTCAGTTAATTGTTGTCCCTTATGTAAAATAGTTAAACTACACATTTTGTTTTCTTGTCTATTTATAGATATGTTGCAAATACCTTTGTTGTGTACTAATTTTAGTTTTTATTTATTTTCATTTAAGGGGATATGCTCAGTTTATTTTATTTTTTTACAATTTAAAATCTAAAGCCTTTTGAATATTTTTACCATGTTTGGCACATGAAAGAATTAAACAGTAAAAAAAGGGTTGAAGACAATTTCGGTTTTCATGTAAAGCCCAAAAAAAAAAACCTCCTCCATTTTGAATGCTTTGGTACCTTTAAAAATGCTAAAGCTTTTTATTTATGCACTTATTGCAATAAAATTTACACAACTTATATTTAATTATATATTAAAACTTTTTTCTCAACAACTTTTTGATAGAACTACTGGTCACAATTCTTCAAGGTCTGAATAATCACACCCTAAGTATGCAAAAGTTTCAAAATTTGCATATTATAAACTTTTTTTCTTTGAAAACCATCACTATTCCCTAGTGACAAAAGTTTTATTTTTGCGTGAAGAACAATTAATGAAAATATAGTGTGCATTGTTTCAAAAATAGAAAAGTAGTAGGCTTTTTAGTGATTAAAAACAGTGAAAAGTAACAAAAAGTAGGTCACGAAAAAACAATTTTTGTG